GTAAATGTTACTTCTTCAAATTCCCACAATAGAAACTTCAAAATAATATCATTTGATGAGGACATATCATTAATATCATTTTGTATGTAACATATGTTCTCACACACACTTCGAGCTTCAATCTATTAGCATCGAGCACGAAATTGGAATTGAAAAGAATACAAATTGCATGAAAGTGTGACTTATTTCTAAATCCTACAAGATGGCCCTAGTTTCAGGCAAATAACACAATGAAACACAACGAAACACAACAGACTAAGAAATATAGTCCTTCACATGCTGCCACATTGGACGTCAGGTCAAATTAAAGACTTGTGTAGTTAAGCAGTGTAATAATAATTTCAAGTCTTGAAAACTACGGACACGATAAACCAATAACCAGAACAAAAATGCATCCATACCTTTGACATGGAAAATGGATTGATGACCAGCCCAGATGCTGGCCCTGAATGTGGGTGATAAATATAATTCTCATAGCCATCATCATTTTCTATGTCGACATTCAGAAACCCAACATTTCCAAAAAAGAAATCCATTAAGAACAATCTTCATAAAAGCCCAGCCAGTTAACAGGGAACAAATCAAACACACAGCACGTGAATAAAATATAAAAAACACTCATAAAGGAAGACCTTTGATGCTCAATGATGGCGAACAGATTTTTAATACTGGATTGAACCTTGAGGGCGGAAAGCATTTCAGCGTTCCATTTTTAATGTTTTCCAATCTTCTGCGTTCGTAATCTGTCAATTTCTCCATAGATTTTAAAATGTAGTGTACAGATAATTATTACAACTACAATACGGAAACATAAACTCTCAATGTTGGATTTTGTGATCCAAATTAGGTGGAATATTTTGAGAAAATATTTCATTTATTTCACATGTTTTATTGGAAAAATATTGGGAAAATATTATTTCTTTTATTCCACGTGATTTTTTTTTATCTTGTTTCCATCTTTTTGATATTTCTAGGCCCAATAAATAGTAAACTCTTCATTCAATTTAGTAGATTGCAGAAGTTGCTAAAAGTTGTATTTTTTTTTTCTGTTGGTTGTCATTAATAAAATATTCAGTTCTTCTGCCAATTTCTTGTTTACTTTCTTTTAAATCTTGTTCTTGTTTATTAGTTTGTGCAATCTATATTTCATATTGCGCCATATCAGTCCTCGAATTCCTAACAAGTGGTATCAGAGCCAAGGTTCAGCAGTTCCGCAGAGTAAGGATTTGTTGTTTGAGGTTTTTTGTTATTCATGGCTACTTTGAAGTATGATATTCCGCTGTTGGATCGCAATATAAGATTTTTGTTGTGGCAAGTGAAGATGAGAGTTGTATTGGCGCAGATGGATTTGGAAGATGATTGGTTGGGATTTGATAGAATGCTCACAACTTGGATTACAGAGGAGAAGCAACGGAAGGATCGTAAGATACTTTCGCAGACTCGTCTTTATCTACCTAACAACATTCTTCGGGACGTCTTGAAGGATAAGACAACGGCTGTATTGTAGCTGAAATTGGAGCAAGTGTGCAAGACCAAAAGTCTGACCAACAAATTGCATCTAAAGCAGATGCTTTATTCTCATCGCATGGCAGAAGACCGATCACTGGAAGATCATCTGACCATGTTTAAGGAGGTCCTCGTTGATTTGGAGACGCTAGAGGTAAAATATGATGAAGAGGACTTGGCCTTAATCCTGTTGCGCTCGCTGCCTGGTTCGTTTTCGTCATTTAGGGACTCGATTCTGTACAGTCGTGACACACTCACCATTGAAGAAGGGTAGAATGCCTTGTTCTCAAAAGAGAAGATAAATCATCTGGTTGGAACTAGTTCCAGATATGAGGAAGATCTGGTGGTTCAGGGTGATTGGCAAAGGGGTAAGTCGATGGTGGATTTAGAAAGGACACATCAAGAGGGATTGCGAGAAGTTGCAGGGTAAGAATAATTCAGCTGCAAATCTTGGGAGGCAATAAAATATTTCAGACGAGACCAACATAGTTGAGGACTATTTGGGTGGAGTATATGTTTTGACGATTTCTGACGTCGAATCCAAGCCTGATGAGGTGTAGATTTTGGATACAGCTTGTGCGTTTCATATGAGTTACAATCAGAATTTGTTTGAATCATATGAAACGATGACACAAGGTGTCGTTATGGAAAACAACGAATCTTATCGGGTAGCTGGTATTGGGAGATTCAGATTGAAGTTGGTGGATGGAACAATCAGAACACTTGGCTAGGTTCGACATGTTCCAGACTTGAAGAAGAACATCATCTCGCTGAGTGCCCTGGATTAAAAAGGTTTGTTACATCTCAAATTTTTAGTC